AGAGAGAGAGAGAGAGAGAGAGAGAGGAAGAGAGAAATGACACCCTTCGTTTTAATTGTCCTCACAGTAAGAACCTACAGTCTTTCACGCTCGGCCCAACCCGCCCGAACATAATCTCCTGATTTTCGGCTTATTTTCTTTTTATGAATTTTTGTTTTTAAAATTTCAGGGACCATTGCTAGAATACGTGGGCGACTTTTGGCATATGATTACATCAGAGAGTAGCAAAGTGATTGTGATGTTATGCAATTTCAACGAAGGTAATTATGGTCTTGAATGTTTACCGTAGTGCTTAACGATGCTGCTATTGTTGGGACTACATTGCTAGATCGAGTCCCCGGCACAAGTCTATGTCAGCTGGGCGTCAAGTTCTTCACTATTTATTTATTTATTTATTTATTTAATTATAATAGTACCAATATGAAAAGATAAATTGAAAAGACATCAGAGAGAAGTTACCTACCACCTAGTTACGGAAGGTGATTGCTTGCTGAAACAGCTCGAATCACAAACAGCGAAATGGTAAACTGACAGAAACCTCCTAAAATCCTCACAATTACTCTAGGGCTAACGTTCTGTTACGAAAGCGAAAACCCTGGCTCGAACCCAGTGACAGAGTTTCTGGAGGTACCTTTCTTGTAGGCCATACATGCATTCGAGGGCTCTATGCTTCGGGCAGTATTCTTCTTCCATGAGCTTTATATGGGGTCAACTAAAAGCCGCGACTTGGCCCTCATCTTTTAAACTTCTGAGTAGTATAAGCTAATCGTTCGGACAAAATTCCATTTGACTAATAGTGAGTTTGAACCATCGACGTTCTACTGCTGTCTTGACGAGGTCATCGACCATTTGCTGACTGCGCGTCGGAACGGCCGCCCCATCGGCTTAGTTATTCCGTTCCCCGTACATTCACCTTTCTACAACTCATGGATTTTGTTATACAGGGAAACATGAGAAATGCTGCTTGTACCTGCCAAAAGAGAAGAAGGAAGTTGGAAATTTTGGTGGATTCGCAGTAGCTGTCAAGGCATCGAAACCTGATCCTTTTGAAAACATCAAGCATACTGAACTGGAAGTAAAGTACGGGTAAGCAAGCAGGGATCACATTTGTGAGAATAAAAAGTATCAGGGCATACTAGAGACCACAAAAGTAAGCTAAGGGATTCTTAAAACTTTGCATCTAGGGACTGAAGTGGACGAGTTTATGGGGTTCTCAAATATCATATTCAAGCTACAAATGCAAAGTACTCTGTTTTAAGCGAAGGTAAAACTTTTACGGTCCACCATTTGGCATATTTCGAGTGGCCTGACCATACGGCACCGCTAAATCCCGGGCCTACGGTTGGAATGCTGAAATTATCACGAACGTTGGCTGCAAAACATCCTATTACGGTACACTGCTCGGCTGGAATCGGACGAAGTGCCACGTTTGTCGGTAAGTTTGCTCAATTCTCATTGTTCTGGGACTACAGGACCTCGACACGTAATTAGGATAAAATGTAAAGTTTTTGCTGTCAGTCGGACCCGTCTGAGGGAGGAAACAATATTTGGTCATCAGTTGCAATTCAAGGTATAAAGTATTCGGCGTTAATCGCTGCTGCGCTCGCGATGCACCAATCGTTCAGCTCCCATCTAGAATCGCAGTGCCGTTTTGAATACGTATGTAGCTAATACAATTTGCGGTTGCCTGCCAATGAATAAGGCACTGCTTTTATCTTCCCAGACCAGTCTGGTACCCATAAACCAACTCAAGAGTGATGGGAGCTTGGATAGCCGACGAGGATATCGATTCGGGATTTGCACACTTGACCATGAGTGTGAGATAGTGAGTCATATTGCCCTACACCACCTCCGCCCCGACGAGTAACTAAGTTATAGTAATTACCAAAAGGTTGGGAGGG